TTTTGTATTTTTAGTAGAGACAGGGTTTCTCCATGTTGGTCAGGCTGGTCTCGAACTCCTGACCTCAGGTGATCCACCCGCCTCAGCCTCCCAAGGTGCTGGGATTACAGGCATGAGCCACTGCACCCAGCGACTTCTATTCAGCCTTTAAAAAACAGGAAATTCTGTCATTTGTGACATTATGCTGAGTGAAATAAACCAGGCACAGAGAGACAAATACGACACAATCTTACTTATGTGTGGAACCTAAAAAAGTTGAACTCATATAAGTAGAAAGTAGAATTATGGTTATTAGAGGTTAGGAGGCAGGAAGTGGGTGTGGAGAAGGAAAGAAGAGATATTAGTCAAAGGGTACAAAATTTCAGTTAGGATGAATAGATTCTGGTGATTTATTACACAGTATGACTATGGTTAATAATAACGTATTGTATATTTTCAAATAGGCAAAATTATGGATTTTAAATGTTCTCACCACAAAGAAACAATAATTGGCTGAGAAGATGAATATGTTAATTAGCCTAATTTGACCATTCCACAATGTATACATGTATCAAGAAATCAGTGTATCCCATAAATATATACACTTATTATTAGTCAATTAAAAATGAAAAAAGTTTAGTATTTCCAATAATTGGATATAAGGCATGATTTACTGCTATTTATTGGAAGAATTCTTTTTCTTTCTTCTCCTTTTTTTGCTATACTCTTGTCAGGTCGTGACAAGGCCAAACAAATTGTTTTACTACTAGCAAATGGAAAATTCAACTTACCTTATTACATAAAGTATTGGGAAAAATGGTCTCTGCTCTCTAAGCCAAGAGATGAAAGCTATTATTCTGGCAGATTCTGGTGTATCAAGTTCTGGAAGGTCTGTCTGTTAATCAAAACCAACAATATCCAATTACTTTAATTACATATCTAATGTATGGTCTATGGTACTTTTCAAATTTTTATTTTTTTAATTACTTTTTTTTTCTTTTTTGAGACAAGGTCTCTGTCGCCAGGCTGGAGGGCAGTGGCATAATCATGGCTCACTGCAGTCTCAACCTCCAGGCTCCAGTGATCCTCCCACCTTAGCTCCTGAGTAGTTGGGACTACAGGGGCATGCCACCATACCTGGCTAATTTTTGTATTTCTTGTAGAGACAGGGTTTTGCCATGTTGTCCAGGCTGATTTCAAACTCCTGGGCTCAGGCAATACACCTGTCTCGGCCTCCCAAAGTGCTGGGATTACAGGAGTGAGCCACAGAACCCGGCCTACTTCTCACATTTAATTTATTTTTTGAGACAGGGTCTTGCTCTGTTGCCCAGGCTGAAGTGCACTGGTGTGATCATGGCTCACTGTAACCTCCACTGCCTCCCAAGTGATTATCTCACCTCAGCCCCACCAAGTAGCTGGAATAAGAGGCATGTGCTACCTGCCAGCTAAATTTTGTATTTTTTAGTACTGAGCACCATGTTGTTCAGGCTGGTCTCGAACTTGGGCTTAAGCAGTCTGCCCACCTCGGCCTCCCAAATTGCTAGGATAATAGGTATGAGCCACCATGCCTGGCCTTGACTTTTAACATGTATATGAATCACCTGATCATCTTGTTGAACTACAGATAATGATTTAGGAGGTCTGGGGCAGGGGTGTGGTCCTGAGATTTTGCTTTCCTAAAAAATTCCTACAGTCATGCCAGTGCAACTTGACTAGGGACCACAATTTTCTACGAATAATCTAGAATAGGAGTAGGCAAACTTCTTAAAGATCATTTGGTTTCTGCTGTAACTACTTAACTTTGCCATTGTTTTTTATTTTTTGAGACAGAGTTTTGCACTTGTTGCCCAGGCTGGAGTGCAATGGCGCGATCTTGGCTCACCGCAACCTCTGCCTCCTGGATTCAAGCGATTCTCCTGAGTAGCTGGGATTACAGGTGTGTGCCACCATGCCTGACTACTTTTGTATTTTTAGTAGAGATGGGGGTTTCTCCATGCTGGTCAGGCTGGTCTCAAATGCCTGACCTCAGGTGATTCACCCGCCTTGCCTTGAGACGGGGGTTTCTCCATGTTGGCCAGGCTGGTCTTGTACTCCCAACCTCAGGTGATTTGCCTGTCTCGGCCTCCCGAAGTCCTGAGATTATAGGTGTGAGCCACCATGCCTGGCCAACCTTGCCATTGCTACACCAAAGTAGCCATAAACAATACATAAGTGAACAGGCATGGATGTTCCAATAAAACCTTATTTACAAAAACAAGTAGCAGGTACCCCTTGGGCATAGTTTCTAAGCCCTCATCTAAAAAAACCTTTTAGTTCTTCCCTTCGTTTTAGCATGACATCCAGAATTAATTGATTCATTCAGGTATTATTAAAAATATAACAATTTCTTATTTACTCATACTTAAAATGCTTAGTCATCCAGTCCAGTAGTTCTGTTCAAGGCCTGAAAGCCAGTGCTTATCGTAGCTATAATCCTGACACAGCTGTCTTTTATTTATTTATTTTTTGAGACAGGTTCTTTCTCTGTTGTCCAGGCTGGAGTGCAACGGTGCTATCACTGCTCACTCCAGTCTCAACCTCCCAGGTTCTAGCACTCCTCCCATCTCAGCCTCCTAAGTAGTTAAGACCACAATTGTGTGCCACTATGCCCAGCTATTTTAAAAATGTTTTGTAGTTATGGGATCTCACTATGTTGCTTAGGGTGGTCTCAAACTCCAGGGCTCAAACTCACCTCAGCTTCCCAAAGTGCTGGAATTACAAGTGTGAGCCACCACGCCTGGCATTTTTTTTTTTTTTTTTTTTTTTGAGATGGAGTCTTGCTCTGTTTCCAGGCTGAAGTGCAGTGGTACAATCTTGGCTCACTGCAACGTCCACCTCCCGGGTTCAAGCGATTCTCCTGCCTCAACCTCCCAAGTAGCTGGGACTACAGGCATGCGCCACCACACCCAGCTAATTTTTGTATTTTTAGTAGAGACAGGGTTTCACCATGTTGGCCAGGATGGTCTCAATTTCTTGACCTCGTGATCAGCCCACCTTGGCCTCCCAAAGTGCTGGGATTACAGTGTGAGCTGCTGCACCTGGCCTATCTGCCTTTTAAATACATAAATTCCCTAATGATTCTATGAATGGAGTGATAGAATCCACCAATATGAAAACCTATCAATAAACATTTTTGGTATGATTCTGTTATTATTTTCTGATATCAAAATAGGGGATACTCATGTTTTTGCCACCCTTGAAATGCCCTTTATAATCACTATAATAAAAGAGTCTTACCATAGGCTGTGGAATCGATGCATAGTTTTGAACTCCTAGAACTTGGCTGAGAAAATTCTGTGTACAATTTTTTCCAACCCAAAGCATCAGTACCTAGGGACAGGAATAAAATTATTTTGAGAAGTAGCATACATAAAGGTGAGTCTGTTGAGTGAGTATATTTTATTTTTATTTTTTGTATATATATTTGTGAGATAGGGTCTTACTCTTTCACCCAGGCTGGAGTGCAATGGTGCAATCTCAGCTCACTGCAACCTCCGCCTCCTGGGTTCAAGCAATTTCCCACCTCAGCCTCCAGAGTAGCTGGAACTACAGGCATGTGCCACCATGCCCAGCTAATTTTTGTATTTTTAGTAGAGATGGGGTTTCGCCATGTTGGCCAGGCTAGTCTTGAACTCCTGACCTCAAGAGATCTGCCTGCCTCAGCCTCCCAAAGTGCTGGGATTACAGGTGTGACCCACCGCACCCAGCCTGAGTATATTTTAAAAGGTCAAAAAGGTAAGTATATTTAGTGAGATTATACAGCCTTTAACTGAATAGTAATTAGTATTTACCTGATGAGACATTTTATGCTTGGCATGAAACAAGGAGGATGTGGAGGGGGAAGGCGGCAGACAAATGTACTATCAAGAATCACTGAACACTGGGATACATGCTGAGAAACGTTTTGTTATGTGATTTCATTGTGTGAACATCATAGAGTGTATTTACACAAGCCTTAATGGTATAGTCTACTGTACCTAGGCTACAAACCTCTATAGGTTGTTACTGAATACTGTAGGCAACTATAACACAATGCTAAGTATTTGTGGATCTAAACATAGGAAAGGTATAGTAAAAATATGGCAGAAGGGATAAACATTACACCTGTATAGGGCACTTACCACGAATGGAGCGCACAAGACTGAAAGTTGCTCTGGCTGAGTCAGTGAGTGGTGAGTGAATGTAAAGGCCTAGGACATTACTGGCCACTGCTATAAACTTTACAAACACTGTACATTTAGGCTACACTAGATATATA